CTCCTCCTTTCTCAGCCCCCTCCTCCCACCTCAAACATTGCTGTTACTGAAGTTGACAGATAGTGGGAGTCAGGCAGTTAGTTAGAAAGGGAGCACTCTGAGATAACAAAGTCCCAACATAATACTTTCCCTCTTTGTACCTGTGTTATGTTACTTGTCACTTTCTATTTGTTCATCTTCCAAACATTTTTACATTCCAGACACAGTTCTCTGTACTATGTATTCATTATGCATCAATACATAATTTATTATGTGTCTGTTGTGTACAGGCATTAGGGGTACTAAGATGAGTGTGATGCAGTCCTTACCCTCAAAGAGATGACCATTTAAGGGCCGGCTGAGTGGCTCAGTTGGTTAAGAGCTCGCACAAGAGTGCAAGCTCTGAGCAACAGCGGTTCAAGTCCCAGACCGAGCTGAGTTGCTGCTGAGCTGCCAACAGGTGGCAGGATGGCTCAGCTAAAAAAAAAAAAAAAGAGTTGACCATTTAGTGTGGGAGATGAGAGAATTTGTTTCCATCACACTTTGTCCTTTTCTGCTTGCCTCTACCCCCTGAATCTTTAGGTTATTGTAATCCTGGGGTAACAAAGTTAGAAAAACCCTAGCCTGACTTTAAAACTTTTAGATTTTATTCATACAACAAATATTTATTGGACACCTATAATATGCCCAGCTCTGTTCTGAGTTGCTTAAGATACATCATAGAACAAAACAGACAAGAATCTCTGTCCTTATAGAATCTTACAGCCTAAGTATTTCCCCATGTATAAGATGCATCCTTTTTTGAAAAATTTGGGGTCTAAAAACTGGGTGCATCTTATACAGTGGTTGTAGATTTTTGTTTTTTACTTGCATTTACCCTTTTTCCCCGCTTGATTTTGCACTCATACAACCACTGTATAAGACGCACCCAGTTTTTAGACCCTAAATTTTTCAAAAAAGGGTGTGTCTTATATATGGGGAAGTACGGTACTTGGGAGAGACACAACAGACAACATATTGAATAATAAAGTATTAATACATAGTAATGCTAAAAAATAGAAACAGGGTAAGGGGGATTACGAGTCTCAGGTGTTGGGAAGGGTAGGTTGTAATTTTAATTGTGGTAGAAAGGTTTGGCCTTTTGGAGAAGGTAACATTTGAGCATAGACTTGAAGGAGGTGATTGTGTTAGCCCTGGGGATGGGTTAGCTATGGGGTATCCGAGGGAAAGCATTCAAGCACAGGAAATAGCCAGTGTAAAGGTCCTGTGAGGTGAGCATGCTGGCGTGATGGAAGAGCAGGGAGAAGGCCAGTGTGGCTGGAGTGAGGGAGGGCAATAAGAAATGATGAGATGATGCCCATGTGGAAATAGGGGTCAGATGTGATAGGTCCTTGCCAAGACTTGGGATTTTACTCTGAGTGAAATGAGGAGCTTTTGCGGGGTTTTGAGATGAGGAGGGACCTGATCAAACCTAAATTTGTAAAAGGATCTCTGGCTGCTATGTTGAGAATAGATTCTCGGGGCAAAAGGAGAAACAGGGAGACCAGTTTGGAGGCTATTTCAGTAACCTAGGCACAGATATTGGTAGCTGTGACTGGGTGCTAGCAGTAAAGATGGTGATGAATGGTCAAATGCTGATATGTTTTGAAGGTAGAACCAATGATCTGACGAATTAGATGTGAAATGTAAGAAAAAAAGAAGAGTCAAGGATGACTCCTCAGATTTTTGGCTTTAGTAACTGAGACAATGGAGTTGACATCAGTTGAGATGGGGAAAGCTGCAGGGAGAGCAGGCTGGGGAGCAAGGTTAAGAGTTCAGTTTGGGGCATTGTTTGAACATCCAACTGGAGACAGTCAGTAGGCAGCTGGGTGTGCAGTTCTGGAGAGAGGTCCAGGCTGGAGATAGACATTTGTCAGTTATTAGCATATAGGTGGTACATAAAGCCACAGGCTAGATGATGTTATCTAAGGAATGAATAGAAGAAGAGAATGGACCACTGCCCACTGCAACATTAAAGAGTTGGGAAGAAGAGAAAGAACCCACATAGGAGAGGAGGGTAGAGAGAAGCCAAAGACTATGACATCCTGAAAGCCAATTGAAGAAATTGTTTCAAGGAAGAAGGGGAGCGATCGGTTGTGTCAAATGCTGTTGATAGTTTTCATAAGATGGGGACTGACTGTTGGATTTAGTAGTCTGTGCATATCCTTCACATCACTTACAACATTTGTAATTAAATTATTAATTTTATAACTATAGTTGTTTAATGTCTTTTTTGCTAGAATGAAAGCTTCTTGAAGGTAGAGATAGTGTCTGATTTCTTCATTTTATTATAGTCATTATAGAGATTCAATAAATATTTGATGGATGAATGAATGTGCAGTATGCTTACCTTCTGCCTAACTCCAAAATAGACATTCTGAACAGCTTATATAAGAAAGAGGGAGAGCATTGTATGACAGGAAATGTGGAGGACATTATCAGGACTGGCAGGAGAAATCAGCTGACTGCTTTGAGATGCTTGATTTAGAAGGTTTACTTGACATCTTGGAACCATTGGTATCATTTGGGCTGTAGATTTGGTGGCACCATAAATTGAATTTGCAGTCATGTTCCTTGTGATACATGGCATAATCAAGTATGTACACGATACTTTTCAAACAGCAGGAAGCCCATTTAGTTTAAGTTAAAGGTTAGAAAAGGAGGTTTTCTAACAGAGGTAAACAGTTGAAATGAGACCCCAAGGGGATGTTGGAGTTAGCAAGGAGAACTGGGCAAGGGCATTCCAGGCAGAAGGAACAAGAAAGGCTACAATGTGGGAAAATATTGTGTGTTTGGTGGAACTACAAGGAGTTTGATATGGAGCCTTGATAATAAGATGTGGGCTCTTTATTTCCCACTGAACTTGAGCAAGCAAATAATTGAGATTGACTGGACTGTTAGGTGGGTGTGAGGTTGGGGGAGAAGATGGATGGGCTAAGTCCCAGGTCTTGGTTGCCAAGTTCAGGAGCTTGAATTTTAGCCTGTAGTAAGCAGAGGGAAAATAGCAGTGGAGTGATAAGGTTTTTAATAAGGTTTTAGGAAGTTTAACTTGGCATCTGAATATAGGATGGCTTATAAAACTGTGGAGAGAGGAGGCAGGAAAGCCAGCTACGAGTTGGTATTATTCATGATTGAGGCAATGAAAATGGATTTGAGAGGGTGTCCAGGTTCCCGGCGGTTTGTGTTGAGTGGCTCTCTCTTTATGCCCGCTGGAACCGGAAGTAATCTCCCAACATTACTGCCCTTTAAGGAAAAAGACATTTATTGCTCTTAACGTGTAACATATGTTATCAACAATCGAACAAGTTTCCTGGTCCACTGCCTTCTGTGGCTCAGCGTTCCTTCTCTGCACCAGCTGTGTTACCCTGTTACCCCCTCTGGATCTAGAACTTTCACCCCACTGAATTCAACGCCATCCAGAGAAGAGATCAGTGAGCAGCCCTCTAGTAGTTTCACAACATGGGGATCTCAGGCCCCCAACTATGTCATCTTCAAAAATATAATTTTTTCTTTTTATGAAACCCATTTCATAGTTTCTGCTGAAATGGAGGATGTGGGGGAGAGGAGGGATGAAGGCTTCTATTCAAAGTGCCTGCTGCCTCTTACCTCTTGACTGCTCAGAACAAGTGTGGGAGAAGAGAAAGTCCCCTTTAGGAAGAATTCATGTAGGCTGGAGTGAGGAGTCTGGGAATGGCAGCTGCTGATCTTGGTACCGGCAGCAGAGCGGAAGATAACAAGTGTCACAGAACAGCTGCAGTCCTTTATCACCTGGACCACACTGCAAATAGATGTGGGAACTCACTAACCAGGGAGGCCAAGGTGACAGGTTGGCAGCTGGCTTTTCTGGTGCTAGAAACCAAAATTAGTTTGTTTTTCAAAGGGCTTACTTACCAACTTGCTTTAATAGCAGTTTATACAACCCTTCATTGATTCTGAGATGCCCGTGTTTTTACATTTTGGATATCAGGATGCTCTTAAAATTGATGATGTATCATAGTTTAATTGGGAGATTTTTTTCTTAGTGGTACACTTTATAATCAATGCTATCTTTGATTTAGTGAGTGTACATATGAATATATATGTGTGCTTGGTGGCGGCTGGCAGATGTTAAAGAGGTGGGATAAGCTCTCTCCCCAGAGATGGAGGACTCAGTCAATGCTGATGTTTTAAACCTGACATGTACTGCATGTATTTATGTGAAAAGAAATCTTCGATTGGTTTTAAGACTTGTTACTATTTGTTTTGAGCAAGCTGTATTCAGTCGGAAGCTACTGGATACTTCCCCAGTTATTCCTTAATAAGTTTTAGGGTCACCTTTAAGTTTCTTGTGATCCAAAGCCTGTCAGCTTTCATTACAAATCTTGCTTATTTTCTTTCCCAAAATCATCAGTGAATTTCATGTGATGGATCCTATTGTTAACCTGTACTTATTGAGTGCTTATGGTGCGTTTGTCATAGTTTTAGGCACTGGGCATACAGTGATGAAAATACAACAAAACAAAGTCTGTATATTCTAGTAGAGGGGAAAATCTCTATATTCTAGCTTAGGAAAGGAGCTCCATATTTTAGAGACAGGAAACTGAGGCCCAAAGGTGTTAAAGTGCCTTGCCAAAAGTCATGGCATAGTTGGCATAAAAATCTCACTCACCTGAGTTACAGCTCAGTGCTTTATCTATTATACTTTACTGGTTTTCTTGACTCTCAAGAATGGTATGCAAATTCTTTAGCATTCTAAGTCAGAAAAGCCTAATTGAATTTTGCTGTGAGTCTCATGAAGGAGTTCTGTATAAGGCAGTGTTGTATAGAGCAAGGAACATGTGTTTTCTGCCCAGTTATGTCAGTAGAACATTTGGCAAGTGCCGTAAGCTTTCTAGAACTTGTTTTTATCATCCAAGAAATAAAGAGATTAGTCTTGCTGGTTACTTACATAGTCCTGTTATTTGATTTGAAGTTACAGATGTGTATGTTTGTTTTCTCTACAGCCATACACACTGCTGCTATGGATATGCTGGGAGGATCTGGTATTGAAAGCCAATGTAGAAAAGTTGATATCATCGCAGATGCTGCATATTCCATTTTCAAAAAGCCAAAAAGTTTTACTGGCAACTTTATTATTGATGAAAATATCTTAAGAGAAGAAGGAATAAAAAATTTTGACATCTATGCAATTAAACCAGGTAATGCATACAGTTTTTAAAAGTATTGATGCATTTTCCCACATTTTCTGCAATGAACACACATCTGTTTTTTTGAGTGTGTGCATTTGTGTGATTATAAAATTTATATGTTCTTTTAAAAGCAGTCCTCCCAATGAAGGGAAAACACCCATCCGACACACCTTAAAAAAAGAGAGAAAGAAAAAATAGAAGTGAGTTGAGGGCTTTTTAAGTAATATACAGATACAGAAGGTCACATTAGCTATTAGCCATTTCCAAATCTTGAAACCAAAAATGAAAATTAGTTTTAAAAGTTGGTCTCAAAATCACAGAGGAAAGATTTTATTCAAGGATATGGTAACAGATGATACAGTGGAGGGTTTTTCACAAAAAACTTTTTAAGATTATGGACTCTTTCCAAATGTTTGTGTCTTAGATAGTCTCTTAGAGTAGTTTAATGACAGATGGTGAAGTTGAGTGAGCAGGGTCTGGCCTGTTTTCCAGGGTCTGATTTGAGAAATTCTCTGAAGTCCCCCTTGTTGAAAAATCACTCTTTCTCTCTGAAATTGCAGATGAGAATGGTGATGATAATGTATTTTACTTTATGGATAAAATATCATATGTACTAAATAATAGACAATATAGCCACAAATGAGAGTTATATTTATTTGTGCTAAAGTATAATATTTATACTTTGTATTATTTTAAATATTATTCATTAGGTTGAACTTTTAGGTAACAGAAACCACATGTTTATATTTGTATCATTCCTATCTCTCTCTCTCCAATTTGAACTGAATTGAATTAAATAGCTCTTTACGGCTTTTCAAAACTTTTGTATATATTATCTATTTAACCTCATAGCAGTCCTATGAAGCATGCAATATTGTTTAGTGATTAAGAACATGGAGTTTGGGAGAGGACAATCCAGGTTCAGATTCCAGCTTGGCTGCTCACTAGCTGTGTGACCCGCTTTCTCTGAGCTCCACTTTCCTTATTGGTAAAATTAAGGGAATGATACTACCCACATAGGATTGTTGTAAGAACTAAATGCAACACTGTGTATAATGTGCTTAGCACAGCGCCTGGCGTATTGGTACACTCACAATATTTAGTAGTTAATATTTACAGTTGAGAAACTGGTTCAAAGAGATTGAAATGCCTTTGCCTAAGAGCAGGCAGCGAATGGTGGCAGAACCTGCACCAGAGCCAGGTCTTCTGGGTCCTGGTACAGTGTAATTAGCACTTTAGGTTTTAAAGACACAGTGTCCTTGTGCACAAAATTTTTCATTTGATTTAAGTTAAAAATCCTATCGAATGTTGAGAACTTAGTATGACTCAGTACTGTAAGTGTTAGGATATAACAAAGACCAGTGCATTCCTGCCCTCCAGTTTTTAATCTTCTAAGAAGCAGAAGCAGACAGACAGAGACAGAGATGATAAAAAAAGTCCTCCTTAATGAGGAACCCCCTTTTCTCAGGGGGCCAGGGAAGAAATGAGTCCTGAGCACATTGGATATAGGACTGAAGGTTGCATGGATAGATGAGAAGGGGACAAAGGCTCCTGGGAAAGCAGTTAAGGGCTTAACATAACAGGTGACTTTGGGCTGGATCTTAAAGATGAACCTTGCTGTAGGAGAGGAGGATAACTGGGTTATGATGAAAGGCTTTTAGCTTAGTGAAGGTCAGATAGTGTGACAGTTCTCATGGGGGTCTTTCCATTGTACCAGACTGATCATTTAAATAAAAATAGATATAATGTTTACTAAACAGTTGTTAAAATCTTAATATATTGAAGTAGTTACAGTAACCTGATTATTTTTGGGGTCAATTTTTCAGGCCATTCTTTGTTACCAGATTTCTTCTTAGATGAAGTCCCGGATACCAAGAAAATGGGATCATATGGTAAGATACAGACCATATTTTATGTACAAAAGTAAAAATACTAACTTATGTATTTCTTCCAAGATACAGAATTGGACATTTTTGCATTCTGCTTTTAAACCATTTTGTAATTTAAACTACACAAGTAATGTGAAGTCTTAGTTAATTCTAGCAAAGAAAGTTGTCTTTTTCTTCTACCAGTAAGAAGTTCTTTATAGAGTCTTCTCATTTGATTAAAAAAAAAAGTTGTCTAAAAAACAAACAAACCTATTTTTAAAGTTTTATTTCTTTTTCATGGCACTGTCTTTAGGCATTTTGCGTTGATGTGTTATTTTATTTTGAGGGAAAATGTGTCACACAAAGTACATCTAACACCATTCACAAGTTTGAGCTAAGTGACTACTTTATGGGAGAAATTAACTTCAAAGGAGATTTTGGTTTTACTTTGTCCTGTTTTTATCATTCAAAAACAATAACCCCTTTGAATTGGTCCAGAGTTTACATGTTAGTCTTTGTGTTTTGCATTAAGCCACTAGCTTACTGAAATGTCAAAAGAAACACACTAACAAATACCCATATGAAGAATTTCACTCATGGTAAATTAACAGTAACAGCTGCTACTCTTCTAGGCCCTTAACTTTATTTTTATCTTATAGACACTGAACCTACTAAATGATTATGGATTCTTCAAATGGCTCTTAGAAAATTTAGGAACAAATTTCCTCTGTTATGGTTAGCAAACTTAAAGAATCTTACTGCAATGCATTTTAGTGCCAAACCTTCTTTCTGGCTTAATCTTATCTTTTATATCTTTATCTTTTTTTTGGTCCAAATTTTTGGAGAGAGTTTCAGTAATTGCTTAGGTAATAAAAAAAGGCAACTTTTCTTTTGTATTGTAGAAAGTTTGAAAAATATAAAAAGGAAAGAAGTTACACATAATACCACATCCAGGGATAGCTTTTTTTTTAATTAAAAATTTTTTTCAATTAAAAAAAATTAGATCTTTCATTTAGTTGCCACATGGATGTATCAGAGTATTAAGACTGTTGGGTTTTTTTCTCAATAGGCTTCTTACAGAATGGCAGAAATTAGTTTTTGTGTGTGTGTGTGTGTGTGTTTTGTTTTTTTTTAGCTGAGCCATCCTGCCACCTGTTGGCATAGTTTTGGTTTAATTAGAGAGCTCGTCAAAGTCTAATAGAGTCTTGTACTCTAATAGAGGCAAGTCTAAAATCCTGATTTTTGCTCAGCACTCTTAAGACTGGATATAACTTTTGGAGGAAGATATACATGAAATGAGCTCATTTAAATCCCAACTTTAAATAATAAGAATCATTTACTGATCATGTATATTTGTTTTGTTTTTCAACAAACATTTATTGGGCACCTATAATCTGCCAAACACTATGTTAAGTACTTTGCATGCATTGTCTCATTTAATACCTATGCTTCTACAAGACAGGTATTACCCCATTTTACATCTAATTACACCTGTGTGATCACAGAGCTGGCCAGTGGTAGAGCCAGGATTTAATTTCATATTTCTCCAATTCCAAAGTCCATACCCTTAACCAATAAACTTAAATTGTTTTCCTAAGTCCTGAATACTTCAAGTCCTTTAAATTAGCATTTTTCCCCCCAGTAATCCCAATTTATTAATTTATAATGGGGAGTTGCCGTGTCTTAGACTATATGTAGTTGCTGAGATCAGCCTATTCTCTCCCTTTGGTTATAATTACATGGGGAACAGAATCATAATCAGCAGGTTGTTTCATGACCGTGGAATCAGAACAAGAGAGCTTATGTAAGTAAAATGTAAGATAAATGTTTATTGGCATTAGGCTTTCACAGGAATGATTTTGCCAATGGGATTAGAATGTCAAGTGCACTGACGGCGATCCATGTACCCATCTCCACATTGTTTTTTCATAGGCATCAGGTTATTTTTTCCCTGTTAATTCATCCTCTTATTAGGAGATCTCTCTAGAACTAATGTAGTCAAATGATGGATGTGTAGGCTGCTTTTGGCTGCTTTTTTCCTGTCCATCTGGTGGAAGTCCTTTCTCAGAGCTATAGTTTCCGTAGTGGTACCCATGGGGCTAGTGCCACTAGCCGTATAGCTCGTGCTAGTGTGCAAGGCTGACAGGGGACTTACTTTTACCTCTTTTGCTTAAAAACTACTTTCTTCAGGATGTCCTCCTGCCAAGGTTCTTCCACTACCAGTCTTTCTCAGTCATGCTTTGGGGCGGTGTGTACTTCCCAGGATGAACCACCACCAGGACCTCCTCTACTGCTCCTCTGGTATTTGGGAGCTGTGAGCCTTGAAATTGGATGTGAAAGATGGGGGCTTTCCTGAAAAGCGGCATTTTAGAACAGAGGGACAGATTCCAGCCTAAGGCCAGAGTCTGATCCAGTGCTTTATTTATTTATTTTTTTTTTTAGCTGAGCCATCCTGCCACCTGGTGGCAGATCAGCGGCAGCTCAGCTCGGGCTGGGACTCGAACCGCTGTTGCTCAGAGCTCGCACTCTTGAGCGAGCTCTTAACCAACTGAGCCACTCGGCCGGCCCCTGATCCAGTGCTTTAAAATGTGAGAACCTTTCTTTTTTGTATAGGTGTGTAGAACTATTGTTCGTTTGAGATCTTTCATGAGGTGAAGCACAGGCACTCCGTCTACCTTAGCCCATTTCTTCCTGGATTCTGACAGTTGATTGCGTGTCAGCCTAGGTGATGTTTAGTGTTTGGGTTTTTTGTTATTGTTTGTTTTTTACATTTTTATATTGGTGTGAAGTTACCAGAGGGTATGTCGGGTTGCTAACCATGTGTCTTTTTTTTTTTTTTAAGTTATTGAAATGCTCTCTTTCCCATTAAAGATTATGTAGGTGTAATCTAATGACTACAATCTCCATTTCCACTCCACTGATTACACAGTTGATATTCTGATCTCCATCTTTCTGACTCTGGTGTGTTCTTTTCTCATTTGGTTTTAGAGCTGAGAGGGAAGGGGATGAAGGAGAGATTAATTATTACCCCTAAAACTCCAATAATTTGTTTAGGGTTGTTTATTATAAAGACTGTATAGTATGGTAGTGAGTTGTTTTTTTTTTTTCTTTATTGGGGAACAGTGTGTTTTTCTCAGAACCCATCAGCTCCAAGTCAAGCCGTTGTTTTCAATCTAGTTGTGGAGGGCACAGCTCACTGGCCCATGTGGGAATCAAACCAACAACCTTGGTGTTATGAGCCTGTCCTCTAAACACCTGAGCCAACTGGCCGCCCAGTAGTGGGTTTTTTTTTTTTAAACCTAATCAGAGAGTCAGCTTTTTACTTGGAGAATATAAACCATTTACATTTATAATCATAATTGATGTGTTTAGCTGTTACTCCATCAGTTTGATTTATGCTTTTAGATGCCAGTGAATGTATTTAAGATCATTTTGGTCAAACAAGTCTAATTGGTAGCAAGTCTGTTCTGCTAATTAGCTAATTCTCTTTGTGGCCTTATAGTGCCTAGGTTTTAAAGCCATTTACATCAATAATATTTTACAGGTGCCGCTCCACAGTTGAAAGAAGACAAGCCGCAGCCACCATCAAAACCACATTCTGGAGCCGTGGAAGAAACATTTAGAACCGTTAAGGACTCTCTCAGTGACGACATTGTTAAAGCCACTCAAGCAATCTATCAGTTTGAACTCTCTGGTAAGGGTTACATCTGGTTATCTGAGGTTTTTATGAAACAATGTGTAGGGTATTTCCTTTGGAAGAAAATCAGTCTCTAGTCGTAATCACCTGGCTAGTTGACTGTATCTGAAACCCTTACACTAGAATGTAAACATTTAAGAATAACAAATAACCACTGATTTGTATTTTTAAGTTAAGATCAGTGCATATGGACAAAATGTAAAATAAAGTTTCATTACAAATACTTTCAGTGTTAAATAACTCCTTGGCCTGTGTAACTGAGAGAAAATCCTATGTAGAAGGGCACATGGATCATGACAGGTAGTGTAATACAGTAATTTGTCATCTACCACGGGTACCTCAACATTTTTATCTTTGAGATTATTCAAGTCAGTCTAAATTAAGTCAGCTTTTTAAAACCTCTCAATGTGTTTCTTTTCAATATAGCATTAACACACATTAAGAACATTTTTAAGAACTAGCTACCTCAGTCCCATTTGTACGCAGACTTTGACCTTATCAGTCTTTTATCCTTTGTCTTCTATTTTATCTTAATCCATCTTCACCTTCCTGTTTTTACTTCCTTTTCTATCCTTAGAACCCATGGTCCATTGCTTCAACCATTATCTTCACTGTATCTTAAATTTCTGGACTTTTTGTGCTTATGTCACTATTTGTCAAAACCCATTAAATTATCTGGCTGCCCCACAGTTGCATCCAGACTTCTAAATCCTGCTGGAGAAATGAAAAAAAAAAAAAATCACATCACCCAGTGGAACTGTACCAGCAGAAATTCATCATTATCCTTCTTCACGTGGGGTCTAAGCAGCATTTCAGAATTCTGTGTTTCTGTGGGCAGCTTAGTGCCTCATTTTCCATAGCGGCTATTTTAAATTTTCTCAGTAGTCCTCAAATCTTCCATCTCTTCCGTTGACTACTTCCCTGCCAGTTTCAGCAGATAATTCCGTCTTTTTTACAGAGTTCATAGAAGCCTACAGATAGATTTCTTCAGCTTCCTTTCATCTGATATTAAATTAACTATTATAGGCATCATCCTCACTTCCTCGCCCCCCAACAGAATGGAGCTCAACTCTAGATCAGTGCATCTCAAGTGTTAATGTTTGTACAGGTTACTGGGTTCATGCTAAATGCAGAATCTGATTTAGTGGGTCGGAAGTGGGGTCTGAATTCTGCATTTTTGACAGGTGATGACGGTACTGCAATCCATGGATCCCACCTTGAGTTTGCAGTACCATTTCCTCTGGCCTCCTCAGGGACTGTGTGCTATTAATTATGCCCTCTCTTCCACCTGTTGTTCATCCTGCAACCTCCTTCCCTATTTCAACATTCCCAATGTATTCTGGGTTTAAAACAAAACAACAATAATCATACCCACTCTCCCTAACACCTCCCTCCTGTCTGTCTTCTCCCTTTCAGAGCAAAACTTATTTTCATCCATGATTCACTCTGCTCTGGTATCATTTTTCTCCATTCCATTGAATTTGTTCTCACCAAGGTCCTTGGTTGCTTTTGTGTCAGCAGTGTGCATGTGTCATTCTTACCCTGTCACCACTCGACAGCATTTGATGCTGTTGACCACTCTTTCCTTCTGGAAACGCTCCCTTTCCTTGGCTTCCTTGACAGTAGCTCTCCTTGCTTTCCTCTGTCTGTAATCGCACTTTCTCAGTCTCCCATTTTAGATGCTTCTCTGGCCGTCACTGTCTTAGCACTCATTATACTCTACAGACTTTCTCTGGGAAACTCCAACCACTCAAATGATTTCAGTCACCATATGAACTGATTACTTATATGTCTTTATTTCTAGCCCAGTCAGACTTCATTTGACATTTTCACTTAGCTGTCACAAAGATGCCTCAATGTAAAAATGTCCAAAGCAACTCACCATTCCTAATACTTGCCTTTGGCACTGCCTGTTAGATCTGCTCTTCTTCAGCAGTCCTCTCTCAGTAAAAAACACACCAGCATTTAGTTTCCCCCAAGGCCCCAAACTAGCAAATCATTCTTATGTGCTCTCCCTACCTTGTCCTCTTCGTATTCAATCCGTTACGTAGTCTTGTGGTCCTGCTTTGAAATTCTCTCAGAAATACGCCTGCTTTCTTCCATTCCCACTGTCCTGATCCTGACCAGGCACACATCCTCAAGCTTCTAAATTACCCAAAGCCATCCTCACTAGTCTTCTGCATCCTTTTTATCCTTCTCCAGCACATTCTCTACACTGCTGTTTGGGTGACCTATTTAATATACGAACCTGTGTCATTCTCCTCCCACAGCGTATCCCTTAGGACGAAGTCAGTGACTCCTTTACATGGCTCAGTGCACTCTGCATCTGCACTGCTTTATGAGCTCATCTGATGCCACTATCCACTCTCTTTCTCCCTTCTGGTCCTCCTGTACTTTTTCAGTTCCTCATCTAGCAAATTCTTACTAAACTTTTAAATCTCAGCTTCAGCAGGGCTTTCCTTACTCCACATCACCTTCCACTTCCTCTTTTGTAAGAATCATGTGACCTCATTCATTTCCATCGGTGTCTTCCTGAGCAGCTCCGGCTCCTGTCATCACTGTCCTTCTGCCGCTGCCATCCTTGCAAGGCTTTGCCCTTGCCGAAGCCACCTCCACAGCGACTCGTCACACCCGATTCTCTCCACTTTGTTCCTCTCCAACCACAATCATTGATGCCATGTCGGGCTATTAGAGTGCCTGAGACTGCGGCAGGGACCCAGGATTTGGTGTACCTCGATTTGGAGGAAGTAGGGCAGGCCCCTATCAGGAAAGAAGTTTGGAAACCCTGGGGAGAAATTAGTTAAAAAGAAGTGGAATCTTGATGAGCTGCCAAAATTTGAGAAGACTTTTTATCAAGAACACCCTGATTTGGCTAGGTGCACAGCGCAAGAGGTGAAGACATACAGAAGAAGCAAGGAAATTACAGTTAGAGGTCACAACTGCCCAAAGCCAGTTCTGAATTTTTATGAAGCAAACTGTCTTACAAACGTCATGGATGTGATTGCAAGACAGAACTTTACTGAACCCAGTGCTATTCAAACTCAGGGATGGTATTGTGCTCTAAGTGGATTGGATGTGGCTGGAGTAGCACATACTAGATCTGGGAGAACGTTGTCTGATTTGCTGCCTGCCATTGTCCACATCAGTCAAAAGCCATTCCTAGAGAGAGTGATGTGCCTACTTGCTTGGTGCTGGCACCAACTTGGGAACTGGCCCAGCAGGTGTAGCAAGTATCTGTTGAATACTATAGGCCATGTTGGTTGAAGTAGTCCTCAAATCTTCCATCTCTTCCAAGGGACCACAGATTCATAATTTGGAGAGAGGTGTGGAAATCTGTACTGCAACACCTGGAAGACTGACTGACTTTTTAGAGTGTGGGAAAACAAACCTGAGAAGAGCCACCTACCTTGTCCTTGATAAAGCAGATAGAATGCTTGATATGGGCTTCGAACTCCAAATAAGGAAAATTGTGGATCAGATAAGACCTGACAGGCAAACCCTAATGTGGAGTGCGACTTGGCCAAAAGAAGTAAGACAGCTTGCTGAAGATTTCCTGAAGGACTATATTCATATAAACATTGGTGCACTAGAACTGTGTGCAACCCACAATATTTTTCAGATTGTGGGTGTGTGTCATGACGTTGAAAAGGATGAAAAGCTTATTCGTCTAATGGAAGAGATCATGAGTGAGAAGGAGAATAAAACCATTGTTTTTGTTGAAACCAAAAGAAGACGTGATAAACTTACTAGAAAAATGAGGAGAGACGGGTAGCCTGCCATGGGTATCCATGGTGACAAGAGTCAACAGGAATGTGACTGGGTTCTAAATGAATTCAAACATGGAAAAGCTCCTATTCTGATTGCTACAAATGTGGCTTCCAGAGGGCTAGATGTGGAAGATGTGAAATTTGTCATCAAATATGACTACCGTAACTCCTCACAGGATTATATTCATTGAATTGGAAGAACTGCTCACAGTACCAAAACAGGGACAGCATACACTTTCTTTCCATCTAATAACATAAAACAAGTGAGCGACCTTATCTCTGTGCTTCGTAAAGCTAATTAAGCAATTAATCCCAAGTTGCTTCAGTTGGTTGAAGACAAAGGGTTCAGGTCGTTCCACGGTAGAGGAGGCATGAAGGATGACCGTCGAGACAGATACTCTCTCTGCAGGGAAAAGGGGTGGATTTAATACCTTTAGAGACGGGGAAAATTATGACAGAGTTTTTAACCCTAGTCTGCTGTCAGGTGCAACAGATCTCACAGATTGTTTTGAATTTCTGTTGATTTTTATAGTGAATTTATGTAATAAACATATTGTTTTTACTTTGTGTTAAATTAAATTTTCATTGTGAATAAATAATAAGCATGCTTACATGTTATTTTCATTCATTTTCAATTTAAATAAATAAATGTCATACACGCATCTAGTAGATGCATTGCCCCCGAACTCGTAACTTTTGCATTGCATGAAGGGTTAAGAGAGATTTTGGGACAATAACCCAGAATGGTGTTTTACAGTGCTGCAAATTACACCAGTGGGAGCTTTGGAAGTAATTTTGTGGCTGCTGGTATGGAGACCAGTTTTAGGACTGGTAATCCAACAGGGACTTACCAGAGTGGTTATGATAGCACTCAGCAATATGGAAGTAATGTTCCAAATATGCACAATGGTATGAACCAACAGGCATATGCATATTCTGCTACTGCAGCTGTGCCTATGATTGGTTATCCAATGCCAACAGGATATTCTCAATAAGACTTTAGAAGTATATGTAAATGTCTGTTTTTCATAATTGCTCTTTATATTGTGCATTATCAGACAAGATAGTTATTTAAGAAACATGGGAAATGCAGAAATGACTGCAGTGCAGCAGTAATTATGGTTCACTTTTTCGCTACTTAAGTTGGATATTTCTTTACATTCCTGAAACAATTTTTATGTTTTTTTTGTACTAGAAAATGCAGGCAGTGTTTTTACAAAAGTGTATGTACAGTGAGTTGAAATACAATAAATGAAGGCAATGCATGGCCTTCCACTACAAAATATTTGAAGACTGAAAAAAAAAAGAATCATGTTATTGCCGAGTCTTCAAAGCATAGCCTAGTGTCTGGCACATAATAAGTACTTAAAAAGTATTTGCTGAATTTGATAAGAGGCCTGGGGATTTTAGCCTGGCAAACAGCATTATGTAAGATTATTCTAATTGTAGTAGTTATTAAATGTAAGAAGAACAGGGCTCCTGTGGCATTAATTCTATATCTTTATCTTCTGTGTAGGTGAAGATGGTGGAACATGGTTTCTTGATCTTAAAAGCAAGGGTGGGAATGTTGGACCGGGACAGCCCGCTGATCAGGCAGACGTGGTGATGAGTATGACAACTGATGATTTTGTAAAAATGTTTTCAGGTGAGTTTTCAATGTTATTAATTTACTGATTGTTCAAGGACAACTTAGTTCTAACATTTGGCTTTATTCCTTTCCAAATAGTCAAGACTCATAAGCATATGTAGCAGTAGAATCTTAGCAGCTAGTGATGTTGGCGAGCACATAGTCTTGAGAAAGTGGTTCTTACTGTTATTTCTACTGCCCCTTCTACTTCAACCAACAAATGGAGCATCGATGTCAGAATTTCCTTTTTGCAAAACTGAGAAGCTAATGACATAATGTAGGGAACACAGAGATAATTCAAAGGGACTCCTAGGTGGGCTTCATTTCTACTAGTTGGACTAAGTTACCATTTCCAAGAACATCTGGGTCACCAGAGGTGTTGAACTCAGCTGCAGCTCATTTATTGAGAGTTAGGTCATGCTTCAATCTTGCCAGCTATTGTAATAGGAAGTAGCGGCCCTCTCCCGTGGCTCAGTGATCCTGCTTTCTGTGGACTCCCTAACCAAGAGAACCTTTTGCATAAGTTTCTGTCCTGCCCAACTGCTAGAAAAAATTTAAGGGTAATTTTTTTCTGTTTTCTGCTCTCAGAACACTACTACAGATGATAAGTTAATTAACACATGTATTAGAAGCAGCACTTTAAAGCATTATACCATTCTAATCTAAAGATTCTATTATTTAATTAATTTTAAATGTTATTCATTCTTTGTTCTGTTTTAATCTTCAGAAATTGAAGATCACAGTGTATTCTGTGCCCTTAGGGCTTGCTTTCTAATTCTAATCCAGGATGCTAATGGCCTACATACTGTCTGATCCAATCTGTATATGATGTTACTAATGATTGAGGTCTCCTCAACTTTTACTTTTTTTTAATAGTAGTGTTAAATATTCATGGTGCAAAAGTTAGAAAATACACTTAGGAAAAAATTAAATAAATAAAATGACTCTTTATCACACTACTGAGAGATGACTATCAGTTCATTTTGGTTTACAGCCATATATGTATATATTTCTGTGAATGTATATTAATATATATGTGTGCTTATAAAAACAGTATTATAACATTACTACTGTTTGGTAATATTTTTCACTTTGTACATTATAACATCTTTCAGTGTTAATGAGTAGTTATCTCTAATCATTTTCAATAGTTTCTGTAGTGTTTGTTTAGTGTTTTAATAACTTTCTCCATAAAACTTGAACACAGTGTTTTGGACATAATAGATGGTCAGTAAATGTTTGGTAAATTTGAATCCTATAAATATGTAATGTTTTGAACATGGGACCATTTGAAATAAAAATGTCAGCTTCTACACAGAAATAATAGTTATAGTGAATATTTATTGTATGATTACTATGAATTAAGTGATACTCAAAACAATGTTTTCAGATAAAATATTTTCTCTGTTTTATGAAAATGGAGACTGAAGCATTAATGAATTAAATAATAAACCCAAAGTCACATAGTGAGTGAGTGAATAGTGGAACCTGGATTTGAATCCAAGCTAATGCCCAAGCTTTTGCTCTTTTCATCATTATATTATTGTCCTCCAGAGCTTAAAGAATCAAATTACATCTTTAATTTACATTTTATTTATGTAGCATAAACTTGTAATAATGGGCTTCCCATTTATGTCTTTCTGTGAATGCTTTTTGTTTCCTGGATTGACTAGGGGAGGTTAGTCAGCTAAATGAGTAATTTTTAAAGAGTATTTTTATAAGGTTTATTTTATAGCAACAGTTTAGATTGGAAGTGAGTTTGCTTCTGCTTATGTCCTTTTGTTCTTACTTCATCTGCTTTCCTTCAAAGGGGCACAATGTAGACCTTATAATCCAAAGCATTCTCTTTTAAGAAATCATAGCTATTCTATGACCTAATTTACATAGTGGATACATTATAAAGATAGAAACTTAAAGCAGCTAGTGATCAACTAATCAAAATCTCTTTCTTGCCAGTAGAGGCCACTGTATGGTAAAGCATTATGATAGAAAATAAATTGTATATGAAACAATTATCTGATTAATATATTGGAAAGAGGGGTTATATATAGAATATTGTGCTTACTAGCTATTTTTTTTCTTTTTTTTTTCTTTTTAGCTGAGCCATCCTGCCACCTGTTGGCAGCTCAGCTTGAGCGGGACTCGAACCGCTGTTGCTCAGAGCCTGCATTCTTGAGCGAGCTCTTAAACAACTGAGCCACTCGGCCGGCCCTTACTAGCTATTTTTTAAAGTTATTTTTTAAACAGTATTATTCAGGTATAATTCACATACCGTGAAATCTACCCACTGTAAGTGTACGTAGTTTTTAGTAAATTTGTGGAGTTGTACAACCATCACTTGCAATTCAGTTTGAGAACATGTCCATCACCTCCCAAAATTCTCTCATGTCTCTTTGGAGTCAACCCCCATTTTTACCTTTCAGCCAGCCAAACACTAATAATATGCTTTCTTATCTCTACAGATTTGCTGTTTCTAGACATTTCATATAAATGAAATCAAACAGTATACAGTGTTTGATATCTGGCTTCTTTCACCTAGCGTAAGACTTTTGAGATTCATCTATCCATGTATTATTAATAGTTTGGCTCCTTTTTATTGCTTATTAGTATTCCATTATATGGATATACCACATATTATTTATCTGCTCACCAGCTGGAGGACATTTGGATTGCTTCAAATTTTTGGCTATTATGAATAATGCTGTGAATATTCACATACATGTATTTGTGTGGATGTATGTTTTCCTTTCTCTTGGGTAGATTCCTAAGAGTGGAATTTCTGGGTCATATGGTAAGTTTACATATATATATATATATATATATATATATATATATATATATATATATATATATATATATATATATATATATATATATATATATATAGTATACAAGTGGACACTTTGGTCAACGTTGCTCAAGCAGTAGTTCACCATAATCGGAAGTGTCTGGACGCTGATGGTAACCACTTTGAGCACCTCTTGTAATTGCAGAGGTCAAATGTGACTTGTATTCATCTTTTGTTATCGGTATATATTGAGCATTACAATTTTAATAGAGGTTTCCTTTCTTAAAATGTATATACATTTTTTGGCACCCTCTGTATGTATACGTGTGTGTGTGTGTGTGTGTGTGTGTGTGTGTGTGTGTGTATGTGTGTATTTAAGAAATTACCAAACTGTTTGCTAAAGTGGCTGCAGCAAGTTTACATTCTCATCAGCAGTGTATGAAAGTTCCAGTTTCTCCAAATCCTCACCAGTACTTATCAGTGTGTTTTTTTTATGGCTTTATTGAGGTATAATTGACAAATAAACACTATATATTTAAGGTATAAAACATGATGAATTTCATACACGCATACATTGTGAAATTACTACCATCAAGCTAATTAACACATCCATTACCTTACCTATCTTTTGTGTGTGTGGTGACAACATGTAAGATCTACTCTCAGCAAATTTCAAATACACAGTACAGTATTATTACCTAAAGTCACCATGCCATACATTAACTCCCCAGAACTTATTTGTCTTATAACTGAAAGTTTATACCCTCTGACCAATATTTCCCCATTCCCCACCCCCCACCCCAACCCTTGGCAGCAACCATTCTACTCCCTGCTTCTGTGAGTTCAACTTTATTTCAGATATAAAAGAAATCATACAGTATTTGTCTTTTTGTGTCTGGTTTATTTCATGTAGCATAATGTCCTCCAAGTTCATCCATGTTGTCAGAAATGGCAGTATCTTTGTTATAGCCATTCTAATGGGTGTGGGGTGGTGTCTCATTATGGTTTTAATTTGTAGTCCCTTAATGATTAATGATGTTGAGCATCTTTCCATGTGCTTAATAGCTATTTATATTAGATGAACTGTCTATTCAAATCTTGTGCTCACCTTTAAATTGATTTGTCATTCTATTATTAAGTTCTGAGTTCTTTATAAATTCTAGATGCACGTGGTTTGTAAATGTTTTCTCTTAGTCTGTGGCTTATCTTCTCATTTCCTTTTTCTTTTTTTTTTTTTTTTAAAGA